TATCTACATTTACTGGCATATGAGGAGGTTTCAAGAGATATGAGACTTAACCGTGTTTATAAAAATTTTAACAGAATTGTTAATTTGAAACAATTATAAAGTATAGGGAGTTAATTGAAACAATTACAAGTACAAAGAAGTAATTTGAAACATGGTCAAAGTTCAAGGGGGTAACTTATATTTTAGCCAAAAACAAATGACCTGACATGAACTGTTAGTATATTAATTTTTAATTTTCAAACAGAACATAAATCAACTTCGCAAAATACTTAAATTTTGTTGTTAAAACAAAAATCACAATTTTAACATTCAAATAAAATCATAACAACAACTTAGGCAAAAAAAATTAAAATATTGCATTTTTAATAAATAATTACGAATAAGTTACTCTTTCGAACCTATTTACGAATCTATTGCACTTATTCACGCCCAAATTAGGCGTGACTATTTACGCCTAAATTAGGCGTGACTATTTACGCCTAAATTAGGCGTGAATCGTCTGGTGTTGACACGTGGCACAAAAAGTTAATAGTTTAACCGTAAAACTTCATAAGACCATAACTTTTGACCCGGGTATCCAAATCAGGTAATTCTTTTTTTGATTCCATATAACTTTTTGAGATCAACACAATGACATCTCATTTGATATATTTTATCTCTCATAAACAAAGTTCAAATTTGCAATAATGGTAGTATAAAGATGGCAGCAAAGTAGATTAGTCCATCTAAAGTTTGAATTATGGTTTAAACGCTCTTATAATATCATTATTGCAAATTTAAATTTATTTTTGTGAGAGATAAAATATATCAAATGAGGTTTCATTGCGTAGATATCGAAAAGTTTTATGGAATCAAATTTTTTTTTACCTGATTTGGATACCTGAGTCAAAAGCTATGGCTTTCCAAAGTTTTACGGTTCGTAAATTGACTTTCTTGTGCCACGTGTCAACACCAGACAAGTCACGCCCAAATTAGGCGTGACTATTCACGCCCAAATTAGGCGTGACTATTCACTCCCAAATTAGGCGTGAATGCCTCGGGAGTCACGCCTAATTTGGGCGTGAATAGTCAAGCCTAATTTGGGCGTGAATGGGTGCAATAGATCCGTAAATAGTTTTGAAACAGCTATATATTCGTAATTATTTATTAAAATAGTAATATTTTAATTATTTTGCCCAACAATTTATCACAATCTACATTTAAGTCACTTTCAGAAGCAAGATGTCCAAACTAAATAACATATATTTTATTAGATCCGACAAATCAATTCATACTATGTAAATTAAAATAATTGCATGAATCCAACAAATGCATCATGATGCTTGTAGTAGCCAAAAACTTCCATAATCTTCTCTCCCGTTCAAATATAATTCCAAGGTTATATAAGTTAGTAAACAATTTGTAAATGTAGAAAACAAAAAACAAGATTAAAAAATAGAAAGAAAGAAAAAAGATTAAAAACAAAAAAACCTTTTTATACCTTTTGTTTTTTCTTCAAGTCATACTTATTACATAACAAATTTCCACCATATATTAAAGTTTGGATGGTATCTTCAGTCAAGTTAGAACGATAGACATCAATAACTCTTCCTCCAGCACTAAACGTTGATTTTGATGTTATTGTAGATATTGGCACAGGTCTCATGTCACTCGTAAAGGTAGTATTGTTGGGGGATCAAATTTAGGTTCTTCCACCACTTACTCAATTTACATGCACCAACTGAACTATCATCATTTGATACTACTATGAATAATATTATTTTATTTTATTTAAAATAAATAATATGATATAGACCGACTTGTAGGCTTATAGGCTCGGCATGTAAAAAAAAACCCTGCTTTCTAAATATGCTTCTTAAAAGTCCGGGTATGTTTTATTCGACTATATTTGATAAGCCAACCCTAGCCTGATATAAGCTAGGCAATAAACCCCTGTAGGCCGGTCCGACTCACTTTCACCCCTAGTCCCCACCACGTTACCCTATCATGAACATATTAGTATATAGATTTTTATAAAAATTAATATTATATGATATATTTGGAAAAGTTATATAATTTTTTTTATTAAAATATGGATTTTACTTGTTTTTTAGGTATGGTATCTGTTTCGATTCAATTTTTTAGTCTAATCTATTAGATAATAGAATATCTTGTTTTACAGGCGGGGGTGAGAGAGAGCATGTGTTTAATCCTCTCAAGTATTGTTTTTGGGAGGGTTTTAAAGACTTAATCCTAGGACCTACCATGATCGGACAAGCCCGAAGCGATAAACCGATTGGAATATCTTTAAAAAAAATATTGTTTTGACCGTATCGCACTATGTATCGTTTGGTAATCCACCGAATCCCATATCCTTTGACCCAATAGAGTTTCAAAAATGGAGGAATACCCAATATATTTAAAATTTGATAGATCCCGCCAATAGGACTTCCTATACCCACTTATTCTTTGGGAGTATATATATGGAAATGCTTATAGACATGATTTTCTTTTTTGGAAATATTTTAATCGGTTCATTGCTTCGCAACTAATCCGATTTGGGGCGGGTCCAAGATTAAGGCTTTAAACCTCTTCCAAAGGTGGTACTGGGGAGATTCGAACACATGCTCTCACCCCTACCTGCTTAGCTCCCATGCGCCAATTGAGCTACCACCATTTTGCTTATAGACATGACTTAAATAGATAGGATGTGATATGGTTTCGAATTATAAACTTGACGATTCCAATAAGATTTCATTCTTGAACAATAATCCGATAAACTCATTAGAGGGGGTCTCATTGGCGTGCATCTAATAGGAATTGAATCTACGAATTTGCCAATTATGAGTTGGGTGCTTTAACCATGTATGCTTAGCGGGGATCCTCGTACATGGTGAATAACCAAATTCCAATTGAACTGAAATCTTTTGAGATAAATCAACGCAATATAGGAGGATTCGATAAAAGGACATCAATTCAAATCCTGCTTTTTTGAATTGAGAAATATCAAGAATTCTCACTCTTTATTAGATTCATGGACCCAATTCAATTCAGCGGCATCTTTCATTCACATTTTTTCTATCAAGAAAGTTTTATAAAACTCTTGGACTCTCAAATTTGGAGTATTCTACTTTCACACAATTCACAGTGTTTAACAAGCAATCAATATTTCAGAATCAAGGGTGTAGCACTCTTTGTAGTAGCGGTCTTTCTATATTGTATTAACAATTGAAAGAAAATATCTCTATTTGACAGGGCTTTCTCTTATACCTATAAATTCCATTGAACTCGAAAATTATACATTGGAATAATCTTGAGTCTTCCAATTTCAATAGATTTATTGTTCCGCTCCTGTATCTTTCAAAAGGAAAAAAACATCTCTGAGAGTTCTTTCTTGAACCCAAAAGATAGTACTCAGGTTCTCCCAATAACTAAAAAATGTATCATGCCTGAATCTAACTGGGGTTCGCGGTGGTGGAGGAATTGGATTGGGAAAAAGAGAATTTCTAGTTATAAGATATCTAATGAAACCGTATCTGAAATTGAGATATCATTCAAAAAGAAAAAAATCAAATATATAAAGTTTCTATCTAGTATTATACAGTGCATTATCAAATACCGGATACAATATATTATTTTATATAATATTATGATAAATACTATATAATATTAAAATTTAATTAAGCTTTATATTATGCTTCTTTCACATTCCAGAAAATTGAGTATGAAATATCTCTGATTATAAATAAACTAGCTGTACCACGCGCAACACCTTCTTCTTTCTATCATTTTTCTATTTATTGGTCTTATGCAACTGAACCCTCGTGTAGCACGAGCAAGCTAACCCCGTGATAAAGTTATGTCCTATGTTACCCAATTTCAACTCGTCACATCATTCTTCTAAGTAATTAAATATGTGCAGCAATGAATGGTGGCTTATATCATAATGATTCCAAACATTTTTGCACATCACTTTCTATTCTTATGATTTTACCAATTAATTGCAACTATTTTTTATCCAAATTTGTATATATCTCTATTATGATTTTGTCTTTTTACTCATGTAGGAAATGTGAGTTAAAAAAATAAAATAAGTGTAGCAAATATTTTCTTATACAATTTCCTTTTTTTTTTTTTGTATATATCTCTATGATTTTTTTTTTGTTTCTTTTGTCTTCTGTTTTGTAATTTCCTTTTCTGTTCCTGTTTAATTTTCGTTTTCTAGTGTTATTGTGGGGCTTTTGCCCCTTCTGTTTACCAAAAAATAAAAAAATTACATTTATGAAAAAACTTTTGTTTACAATATTTTTTTATGATAATTTTTACGTAAGTTCTTCTTAAGAATTATAACATACTTCAAATCTTAAAACGAGAGAGATTGTAAACATGAATTCTTAAATAAAAAGAATACACATGCAACTAAATATAAATGCAAACTCAAAAATAGATTTAATCCATTCTTAATTTTATGAAAATAAAAACTATTTTTATACACCGTTGGGCGTGAAGATTTAGGGAAGAAGTGATAAATTATATGCAGGCGAAGAAATGATCCACATAAAATGGAATAAGAATAACATAACTCTAATTTATGTTATACATGAAATAATTATGCAAAGAGAAATGATGCTCTACAAAGATCCGTATTTCTATATTAGTGTAGATTTCTTAGATAAAGTATTTGAATCTTCCAAAAAAAAAAATTTAAAAAAAAAGTAAAAAAAATGTGTAAGTAAAAGAAGATGATAAAAGGAAAAGACCATGAGTCCCCTTTTATTTTTATTTTTATTTAAATCAATACTCTAAAAATAAAATTAATGTAATTACATTTGAATAATTTCATGTCATAAAAAAATAGATATAATAATTATGATAAAACCTATCATTATTTACACAAAAATCATTAAATTAATTTATGTATCTTTTAACATGAAAAGGAAATCTAAATTGAAGTGAATGAATGGCAGAGAGTATAACGGGGAACCCTTTGAATTTTGGAAGCGAATAAAAAGTGTCCTAAGACTCAGAGAGATTTGTCTCTCTTCCAAATCCATGCTATATATAAGAGGCGCTTTCTGCCTATAACTTCGATGAACAACCACTCTTCCCTTCTAATTCCATTCCTATAACCACCTTCAGATCCATTTATTCTCTTTCTTTTTTCCTTTTCTTCCTTTCATTTCCCGCTGTTTTCTGCGGCATTTGAAATTTCCGGGAAAACGTTGATTTCCCTGATTCAGGTTTCTGCTAACAGCGTCGCAGTGATTAATCTGTGTTATTTGAATTCGATTGGTTGGTTGTGGGACTGCTGGATATGGCGGATGAGTCACAGAATTGGGTGCTGATGGTGACAGCTCAGACTCCTACCAACATTGCTGTCATCAAGTATTGGGGAAAGAGGGATGAAACCCTAATCTTACCCGTTAATGATAGTATCAGTGTTACTCTTGATCCGAATCACCTCTGCACCACCACCACCGTTGCTGTGAGCCCCAGCTTCCAGCAAGATCGCATGTGGCTCAATGGCAAGGTAAATTTTACTTTTCTGAGTGATTTATATCGTCATCGTCTTTTTTCCTGTTTAAATTTGATTAATATATGGTTCAATTTTATGAATATGGTGTTTCTTCTTCTTCTTCTTCTTTTTAATTTTTTAATTTTATTTATCTAATGGGATATAAGGAATTAACACTTTCGTGATGTGCATCTATTGGAATTTTTTTTCCCCCTTAGAAATGGAAGACAAAATATGTCTTCATACCGATGGAGAAGTAATGCAGACGCTTACAGTCATGGTACAATTAGATAGTCTAATTTCTATCTCTTGTCTGTGTAGAGGACATGCCCACTACTTGCTTGTTAGTTTCACACACCTATAAATTCCAGAACAATGGCAACTGCTTATTTCTATATTTATTTCTACGCACTATCTAGTTGTTAAAAAGAAAGATGAAAAAAAGTACAAACTATCCATGTTTCGAAAATATGAATAGGTAACAGAGGAGACTTCTTAGATGCGCCAAGATGATGGCATAGAGAATTGTCATTCTTTTGCTTTCGATTTTTGATTCGTGGAATTTGGTTTTGCTGGTTAGTGTAGGAGATTTCTCTTTCTGGGGGCAGGTTCCAGAGCTGTTTAAGGGAGATCCGCGCTCGTGCTTGTGATGTTGAGGATAAGAAAAAGGGTATTAAGATCACAAAGGAGGATTGGGACAAATTGCACGTACACATAGCTTCATACAACAACTTCCCTACTGCAGCTGGACTGGCATCATCCGCCGCGGGTTTTGCCTGTCTTGGTAATACTCATGTTAATCTTGATCTTTTACTTGAATTTTCTTCATTCATTACTTGTGACAACAGAGTGGGTTGCATTAGTGGTCACTGGCCAGGACTTGTACAGTCTTCCATTAGTTCCCAAGTTCTAACAAAACCTCTTACACCTTCAATGTTATATAAATGATCAGTTTTCATCCTTAGAGCTTAATACAGGTTGCATGGGTCAATCCATCGGATCTGGTTGTGATTGCTTGGCTGCTTTAGCAGGTTTAAGATCTAAACCAAACAGGACCTTGAATCAGGTGATGGCTTAACTGATTGGTCCAATCTGGTTTCCAAAATCCAGGTTTAAATCATGGAGACCCTCTAGTTTGCTTATTTCTATATCAGGGTAGGGGGAAAATTGCATTAGACAAGGAATAGATAGGTTCAGGGATGTGAAGGGTTGTATGAAGAGGACACATTATTGTGTATCAGCAAGACTAAGAAAAAAAATGATGAAAAAAGAGAGTAAAGAGAACAACATTCGGCACTGTAAACTAATTATCAAAAATCAGGGAACTGAGTTCCACTTTCCCTATTAATATACTTTGATCAGGAAAACAATATAGATGGTATTGATAGAGTTCCAATGGATACTGAACTCGGTTAATAATTGGCTTGAATTGCAGTATATGCCAGCTATAATTGAGGAATTTGAGTTCTGAATTATTTATCAGGAGCCTATGAAAGACAAAGCTGCAATAAATTAATTAATTACTGATTCAATATTCCACCATGGAGAACTTTTCTTGGACAAACAGGCTTATTTGATGTTGATGTTGTATGTCTTATTCTTTATTCAAATTCTTTTGGAATATTACATCTAACATTATATTCTTTATGGTGATGTGCAGATGTTCATAATTTTAGATGTTCTGTCTAATGCAATTTCAATCTAATTTTCCATGCTTTCTTATTTGAAATAGCAAGGTTCTTGGTGCCTTTTAATTTTAAATTAGGCTTAATATTAGTTACTATATGTCATAAATCATAATGACTTTTTTGTTTTCTATTTTGCAGTTTATGCCCTTGGGAAGCTAATGAATGTCAAAGAAGATGAAAGCCAGCTATCTGCTATCGCAAGGTCTTTCTTTCCTTAATGATTATTAATTTGCAAGGTGTTGTGGCTTGGTTTGGATACTTTTTATTTTAAGAGTAAATACCCTTTTTAGTCCCTGGCAATATCCACGAAGGCCTTTTCAGTCCCTGACAATTAAAAAGGACCAAATTGGTCCCTGAAATTACAAAAAAAGGGCCACGTTAGTCCTTCTGTGAACTCTACCGTCACGGCCAAACTAACGGTGCCCATGTGGCACGTTAGTGTGATGACGGGGCTTGCACGAGGACCATTTTGGTCCCTGACAAAATGCACGGGGCCCATTTTGGTCCCTGACCACAGAAAAATAGGACAAGACTTCATTGAAATGTCTACATCTTGTGCTATGAATGCAAGAAAAGATTATCTTTTGGAATGGACCTGATATTGATCAATAACAGTGAATACCTGAACCATTGCAAGTTCCACAGCTCTCTAATCGCCTTATCTCTATCTCTTTTTCTACACCAAAAACTGCTTCTTTAAAGTTCAAACTAACTAACTCCCAAAATGCTTAATTCATGTTTTCCTCACCAAACTAACTACCCAATTCCCCACTCACCAAAATGCTTAATTCATGCTTTCCTCACTCCACAAATTCCCTCTCCTTTTATCCCCTCCTGTAAGAATATTCTGGAAGAATCCCCTAACAAACTAACTAACTCCCTCTCTTTCAGGCCCATCAGATTCACATATATTTTAGGTGCACCTTTTTGAGTAAAAGTATTTTATGTTCTCAAGGTCAAAGGAAACAGAAAGAGTTATAAAATGGTGGGTAATCAATAAATAGTTAACGAACTGAAGCCTGATGTGATAATTGATTTTGCTTTACATAGAGATGGCATTTGAACAACACACTGCATTTGAACATATCAATTTATAATAATGGAGATATGATCATGTAGTCAGATAAGGACAGGAACAAATAGAAATACCACTCTTAATTTCAGATTTACTAGCATTTCTTGAAACCCCAAGAAATAGTGTATGGAAGGAATCCCGAGACAAAAAGCTTGAACTTGGGGCAACCATAAAGCTTACCCTGCTTGTAACACTGCAACAAAGGCGACTTTAAGAAATTACACTCTCCAGCACAATGATCTAAGCTGAAAATTGAGTTTATATACTGAATGGAATGTTGAAGTAGATTAATTTTTTATGACAGACAAGATAGGAAACATTCACTAGTTTCTGCGAAATATATACCATATCCACGCAATAAAACTACTATCAATGACAATCAAAGTAATAAAATTACAAATTACACCCAATTTTTATGATTATATCCCTTTTCTTCCCGATGATGATAGAGAAAACAACATTTAAAGTAATTTATCTCTTTCTCATGGTGTGATACAAGTGCACCACCAAGAATCATGAATAGGATTATAGGAGCTTCAAACCTCGAATTTATTGTTAAATAAATTTGTGCCTTAGAAACTGATATTAACAGTACTCCCCTTCACGACTTCCATTCTACAAAACAAATATCTAGTTATCGAACTTACTCGGGGCTAGATGATGCAACCTTGCCTGTCATGCTGGATCTTAGTAATAGTTGAGGACGAATTCCCCATTGTGCAGCAGATGTACTACCAAAAGGTGTTATGGCCATCCTATATACGATAATTGATATGACCTTTGTTGATGAACTTCTGCTAGCTGCAAAAGTTATAAACTGAAATATAACATGCTAAACATGGTAAAAGACAATCTAAACAGAAGCAAACAACTAAAGGAAGAAAATAGATATAGTATGCAACTTGAGGAGGAGAAAGATAGTTCAAGCTGCCACATGATACAATGAGCTGGAAGTAAGACTTGTGAAAAGGAAAAATCCTAGAAACAATGAAAAACCTTTTGGAGCATGAGATTTCACAAATTGTGGACATAAGTTTGAAATATATAATTAAACTTTTTGATACCATTAAGAGAATAAGAGGTAGTGTTCTACAGAATTTGAATCGGGCCTTCTAGATTTAATATGTCCAGCTATTCACTGTTATTGATCAATATCAGGTCCATTCCAAAAGATAATCTTTTCTTGCATTCATAGCACAAGATGTAGACATTTCAATGAAGTCTTGTCCTATTTTTCTGTGGTCAGGGACCAAAATGGGCCCCGTGCATTTTGTCAGGGGCCAAAATGGTCCTCGTGCAAGCCCCGTCATCACACTAACGTGCCACATGGGCACCGTTAGTTTGGCCGTGACGGTGGAGTTCACAGAAGGACTAACGTGGCCCTTTTTTTTGTAATTTCAGGGACCAATTTGGTCCTTTTTAATTGTCAGGGACTGAAAAGGCCTTCGTGGATATTGCCAGGGACTAAAAAGGGTATTTACTCTTATTTTAATAATATGTTGTAGTAATTATAGAAATTGTCATTATACACAGGCAAGGATCGGGTAGTGCTTGTCGCAGCTTGTATGGGGGATTTGTGAAGTGGATAATGGGAAAAGTAAGTTTGTTTTATTTCTATTTTATATTTTATTTGGCATTATGTTATCTGGGAATCCATTGGTAATTTCTATTCCTTTGATATTTGTAGGAGGAGAAAGGAAGTGATAGTCTTGCAGTTCAACTTGCTGATGAAAAGCATTGGGATGATCTTGTTATTGTTATTGCAGTGGTATGTGCCTACTTTTAGTCTTGAATGGAAGTTTGGCCATTTAATATATTTCAGTAAACATGATCTGTTGTGGTTATTTCTCAATGTGAAGCCCATAGCTTGTGGTTTCCTGTTTCCAATTTCTTTCTTTCAAGCTTTGTTGCAGACAGTTTATTCTGTCTTAGTATTCACAATAGTCTAAAATAATACTTGTTCTATATGAATGAACTTTGAATTTGACTCTCTCACTAAGAGTGCTGTTTGTTTTACACTTATTGTTATTCTCTGTTATAGAAATACTGCTGTTTTGGTTTCTCAATTCACACACCTGATAATATCAATTGGAATCTGTGCTTTCTTAAGATTGTACCTTTCCATATGCTTGAAATCCTTTACTTGTTTTTATTCCCCTCAAAGAACTTCATAGATATTGTTTGTCCATACATGTATGGTTAAGTTTCTGAAACATTGGTATAACAAAGTAATTTAAGTGTTTGCGTTTTATTTTATGCCTGGTTTTTCCTGATGTTATTAGGGTCTGTCTGATAAAATTATTCATCATTAACACTGCATAATAGTTTAAATGCTTCACTATTATTTGATTGTATTTGATATCATATAAATTGCTTCTAATCTTTCTTTGTAAAATTCAAGTAGTCTCCGTACATTTACTGATCATAAATATACTAAATTTAGTGATATTGAGGTAAAAGTTCTTCCTATTGTGCTGAATTTTCAAGAGATGGCTTATCACTATACTATCACCTTTGCCATCTTTTCAACTCTCTCATGGCTGCTGCTCCTCCATTTCTGTTATACATGGCATGACACCACTACAGCTCTTGCCACCTTGCTACTTGTTCCTCAAATAATAGTGGGTTTAAGCTTTTTTAAGTTGTAGAATGTGCTGATGGCTAAATAACAGCTGTGCAAGAATTTCCACATCTTAGGTTTTTTTTTTTTTTTTTAACTTGTCTAAGCCATGTTATTCATCTTATCAATGAGATGTTTCTATTAATCTTAGAACTATGTATCCACCCTATTGTATCATCTCATATTCCATATTTTTCTCAATATTCCCATGTTATTATTTATTTCTAGGTTAGTTCGCGGCAGAAGGAAACTAGTAGCACCACAGGAATGCGTGAGAGTGTTGAAACAAGTTTGCTTTTACAACATAGAGCAAAGGTACCTCATCCCCTTCCTTTGTACAAGTTTTGCGTCAACCATGTTAGATGGTTTTTCTTTGTATTAGAATATAGACCTTTCTAATCTATACTACTGTAGAAAGGGGATCCCCCCGTCTTGGTTTTTCCTACAATGCTGGTATTATGTGCTTTCAATTATTAAAATCAGGGAGAAAATTATTAAGTCAATACATTTTGTCCACAGAAAGACCCCTACTTTCAAGCAACCTATTATTGTTGATGTTGATCTTGAGTTTCTCTATCAATTTCAAAGTTTGAATGCAAAAACTAGTTATTATTTAAGTTGGATTATTTTTTATTCTTGTTGTTTTCTCATTTGGACTGTAATAGGAAGTAGTGCCAAAGCGGATACTGCAAATGGAAGAAGCCATTAGAAATCGTGATTTTGCATCTTTTTCACAACTGACCTGTGCAGATAGCAACCAGTTTCATGCAGTCTGCCTGGATACAAGTCCCCCTATATTTTACATGAACGATACATCCCATAGGTAGGTTTTGATAATATTGATAGTTGGTTGTCTGATCATATAACAAGTGTGGAACAGTTCTTTTCTAATTTATTATCGATGATGTTATTTCACTTCAGGATAATTAGCATCATTGAAAAGTGGAATCTCTCGGAAGAAGCTCCCCAGGTTTGATTTGCTTTCTTGGTCATATTATAAATTTTTATATGTAGAAGTAGAGAGGTTTATTCCGAGCTTCTATTTCTGGATAATTTTTTGTTACCAATCACTGAAATTTCTATATTAAAAGAAAATTCATATGAATTTTTCCCAATTGTTTCTTTACTAAGATTCTAATTAATTTCAAGCTCAAACGTTGTGGACATCAATCTTTTTGCTTTCTTTCTTTGGTCATATCAGATCATGTACTTTGGAAAGGATTCATCCACAAGTTTCATAAATTGTACGGTGACCTGAAAACAGTTATTTTTTTTTTATTTTTTTTAGAGCCCCACAGCATACAAGTAATAACCAAGGTTGTTTTCTAAATCATGTTTTTTTTTTATTATAAAAAAAAAAAACTTTATTAGGGATAAGAGAAAGAAAGGAGTATAAGACATCCTCAAAAACAAAGAAAGTAAAAGGATACAAAGAACCAAAGAGATACAAAAGTGCAATTCATTCTCTTTGCTTGTGAGAAATAGAACTTCCTTGAATAACTATGAGCAGAGTGCCAGATAAAAGCTATAAAGACAATCCTATCCCATTACATATTAAAGTATTAAAACTGGCTTTCAAGATGTGGGCTTTTAGCTCCAGCCAAAAACACCAAAGAAGAGCATAAAGTGTACGCGGGTGCAGAAATTTGGCCTCCTTTTTTTTACCAAAGCCTTTGAAATGAAGTATGAAAATGTAACATCCCCGTCTCGAGCCGGTTCAGTTAACATACATATGATAAAAACAGAAACAGCGGAAGACTTATCTTACGAAAAACAGCGGAAGACTTATCTTACGAAAATGCGAGCTAACTTTTTCTTTTTCTCTTTTAATTCTCATTAGGCGTAAATGAAAAACGGACAGAGTAACCTCTGTAAATCGGACAACTGGGGATTTTCCAATCCCACTCCCAAGAGTTTTTGATAGACAGTTTAAACAATATTTATATCCAGAAGTACCAGTCCTGCAATATAATCAGATACCCATCCATGGGCGCATGCATAATTTGGCTCCGTGCCACTAATCGATCAGCATGTAATCCAACACATAAACATAGCTGAATACTACGTGGTCATATCAGCATGCCTGAATACAAAAGTGTACTTGCATCAAACTGAAGAACATGTACAAGACATATACATGCCATATACAAAGTAAAGGGGTCCTACATCATGATCCATCAAATACGAAAATACGAAATAATATAAATGCACTCCAAAAGGGTAGCAGCTTACAGCTGCTCAAAAACTGATCCGTCCCCCAACGCCTCAACCACGGGTCGCGTCCCTGCCTAGTGCGGACTCACTGGGAATCTGGGCACCTGAAAATATGTCCCCAAAGAGGGGTGAGATTACAAATCTCAAGAAGTTCCAGGTTTATAGAGAATTCTCCATACCCCTGGCTCACTCTTGCATGAAGTCAGATACAGAGTATACAAGACACATATAACAGATATCATAACAGAACAGAGCATATATTCATATCATATCAGAGGCGTGCACCGTCATTCCTAAGGGAGGACCCCAAGCGGAAATCAACGCACGTGTTTCCAAGGGAGGACCCCAAAGCGGAACCAGACATATCAGAGGCGTACACCATCAGTCCCGAGGGAGGACCCCAAAGCGGACATCAGGGTACTATACAATCAATGGCCAGAGATTGTTACAGAAGTCATATTACAGAAGTCATATCAGAACAAAGCATATCATATCATTAGATAACTCTATATGAATGCATCTATACAAAGCATCAAAAACAGTCATATAATCCAACCACAGTTCACTAACCATGGTGGAGCACTCAAGCAGGAAAAGACTCCTTAAACATAGAGCTTACCTCTTGAAGCTTTATCAATCTGCTTACTTGTGGCACAAGTTACTTTTATATCTTCAAGAGATTTCGATCCTTTTCAGTCCCTAGGCGCACCTAGAGAAAGAATCCGAAATACAAATCAATAAAATGCTATCATGCCTAGATTTTCCATAAGGCATACATTTTATCGCTTATCTTCATTTCTTTATATTTTTTCCAATGCTATGCCAATACACAAGTCTAGACCACCTTATACTCGTTAGCGTTCTTTAATTTAATCAAGTGTTCACTTGAGAATTTTCAACATAATTCATGCCACTTTCTTTAAAAGGCCGTGGACATACCCTTAAGGAATCAAGGTATTTTTCAACTATTTTTCAAGCCATTTTACTTCTTAACTCATCAATTTTACACATTGAATTACAACACATTTTATTAAAATAAAATGTATACTTCTATACCCCCTCTAGGTCGAACACTACAAGGAATAGGCAAGAGTTCTTTTCTTTTTAATTATTCTTTTTCTTCGCTTACTTATCAACTTAAACATACGTATATGTACCCAAGAGGTGCCCATAAAATTTTGGAACATCAAGTCCCTCTCAACACCTCATGGCCGAAATGTAGGGCCCAAAACACACAGGATTTTTTCCCCTTTGGCCTTCTCACTAATTTTACCAAATTCATACTCCCCCAAGCACCTTAGGCTCTCTTAATACATCATATAAAATTTTGCCCAATGTTCCCTATTCAACCCATCATGGCCGAACCTAGGGTAGTACAAACCAAGGGAATTTTCTCTTCATTTAACACATGTTAATGTTTCTCTTCTACTCTAAGACTTCCTATACAAAACAAACCTTCATAAATTTCAAGTTTTATACTACTTTATTTCCCAACCACACATGCTCATAAATTTAAAACATAAATCACAAAAATAAAGTCATAGGATTAGAGTTTTGTTACCTCTAATCACCTATTCCAAACCTAGAAGACATTCACTCAAAGAATCTCCATCAAAAGCTCAATTTTTCCTTCTTGATGAATAGTGCAACGAAAGAGGGGTGATGAATATCTCCCTCCACACACAAAATCAGCCCAAATGGAGGGGTGGAATAGCTTCCTTAGATGATTTCCTATGAGATTGGTATATTGGGTCAAGGATTTGGTTGGTTAATCATGGAGAAATCAAGGAAAATCAAAACAAACCCTAAGCTCTATTCTCCAAGGCTGCCGCGGGTTGGGAGGGAAGAGGGAGAGAGAAAATGTGAGGAAAGTGATGACTTTAAGTCACTTAAGGTACCTTTTAGCCCATGTGGCTTTACCGGATGTTTTTCCTACGCGTATTTTTACTTAAATTGACCCGAATTTAACTTAAAGCTACGGACATATTTTTATTTTTCTAACATAATTTACATTAATTTTTATTTCTTACGGAATAATATTTATAATTCACAGTATGGTTTTTGCACCGTTTTTGACGAAATGCACTGTGAATCACTAACTGTACTTCGTTTACTTACGAAACTTAAAACTTGTAACTTATCATTTTTGGGCCTATTTTGACTTGCTTGGCATATATTGGACTTTCTTATACTTATTTCCTCAATTATTTGCTTCTGGTCTCTACCGGTTGCTTAGACAGCAGTACAAAATACTCGGTAGAAACACTATTCACGAGATTGTCACGGAAAGTGCCAGACTATACAATTTTTCGTTCTGAACTCATATTTGACGTCAGAATTGTCAAATTATGTTTCTAAAATCACTTTTACTCATTTAAGCTCTACCGGTTAGTTCACAAGACTGCGAATTCTCCGGCAGAACGCACTGTTCATAACATAGTCATGATTACAGTCAAAATACTCGAATTCACTCACTGAATCTAATTATGGTATTTAAATCCTTAAATTAAACCTCTAATTAAGATTTACCGTTTAGGGTCATTATAGAAAAACAGCTCGAAAGTGAAGGGACACATTCAATGGGTTCTTCAAAAAATTATTCCAGCAGAAAGTAGCTGTCTGACAATGAAAAATGAGTGGGCTACTACTTCTAAACTAGAACTGCAGATAAGACACATATCATCTTATCAAGAAAAAGAGTTGTATGGAGTAAAAATTTGCTAGATATCATTTATATTATTTCTAACGGGTTTGTCGAGAAGGAACCTTATTGACATCTTGATCAAACCATGTTTTTTGCTGTCTGGGGTTTGGAATTACTTTACCTTCTTCTCATTCATAGTTGTCCATCTTTTGAAGTTTTGCCCAAATTTCTAGCCATGCATCAAAACAATCAGGTGTTCTTCACAAGTCCGTTTCAAATCTCAGGGTAACTTCTGAATGGATTCTATGACCTGCATGATTATTAACTTTCCACCTATAGTTTCTTATAAGGAAGCAAATGAAAAGGGTACTTCCTATCTCCAGTTCTATGGCATGTTGCTTGCTTCTTGTTGAATGCCATGCCAGTAATGTCTATCCAAACAAGTGAGCCACTTGATGTGAAGTACAGGCATCAAGATTTCTTCGGGGATTGATTTCACCTATTCTCTTAGTTCTTCTCATTTTATCAAGTATTTCCACTTCACTTTTATTCCATAATTGAGTTTCCTGTGACATTATACCCCTGCACAACATCAAATTTATGTGTAATCCCCATACAAATAATATACGTGCATACATAGCTTGTTTAGTTTGTGTATATTACACAGGCGCATGTAAACAAACAAACGTGTACAGCTCCATAGGCTTGTATTTAAATATTAATGACTAGTTTTGGCTTGCAGGTAGCTTACACATTTGATGCGGGGCCAAATGCTGTTCTAATTGCACGTAATAGGAAAGCTGCTGCCCTTTTGATTCAGAGGCTGCTTTACTACTTCCCTCCAAATTCAGATGACCTCAGCAGGTGCTTTCTTAAGTTCTGCAAGTTGCATGCATACTAATTTAAGATTTTTGTCAATCTCTTGAATTTCTTAGTTACCTGTAAGACTCTCCCCCTTCCAGTTACATTATTGGCGACAAGTCAATTGCCGAAGATGCTGGGATCAAGGGAGTACAGGATGTAGAGGCTTTACCACCTCCTCCAGAAATTAAGGATAATATTCCATCACAAAAATACAAGGGGGATGTCAGTTACTTCATATGTACCAGACCTGGAAGGGGACCTGTTTTGCTTTCTGATGAAAGTCAAGCTCTTCTCAACGGTGAAAATGGGCTCCCCAAGTAAGTTTATGGGAAGTATTCTCATAGTTGATGTATTCTTCATCAGGTTAATTAACAGGCTTTATTAGCCTGAAGTATTTTGACCAGATGACCCTTTCAGGGCAGCCTGTGGTACCCATGGCAGGATTATTTGTTTTTTCCTAGTTCGCAGTTTGTGCTTTTATGTATCTGTAATTCTTGTTTTCAAATCTAGTTAGGCTATTTTCTTGGAGAAAAATAAGTTTCGTTCCTTTTCTGTATTGAGCAAAGGAACTTCAATTCACTTGAGCTTGCAAGTTAAATTTGTCAGCTTTTTATATGAACAATTTCCGTACTTTTGTTTTATTTTGCTTAAAAGTTCTATTTTCTTCTGTCGTACCTTGGCTAACAAAGATGCTTACGTACCTTATGGAATGACTCTCAAATGTCACATTTTGTGCAAACCTACACACACGTAACTCAGCAGCCAAAGCACCGCATCGGTTTGATATGCAGCCCATGGTGAACAAACAGCCAAAGCATTACTTGGTTGAGACATTAAACGTGTGAAAAGTCCTTTGATCACTCCCAGCATATGAGAACTGTTGCCAAATAATACATAGTTAGGAATAACAGAAAACTTATCCACAGACTGTCTCTGTTATCTATATTCCTCTCCCAAGCAGCAGTGCAACACTTGCATCAACAGCTACACGTGAACGTTGTCTATTGCCTAGTTGAAGCCTGATTCATTTGACCAACGGAATCAATACCCAAAAATTCCCGAGGAACAGACAGCTTCAGTTTCAGTAGATTAGATCCTACGCTAGTTGTTAGTTTCTGCAGTGAGCTATCTATCCTTACTGGTATAGTGTGTTACTACTGTAAGTATGCATCTTCCTTCACATTTCTGCTGGGTTAGCTGCTCCACCGCTGGTGCCATTAATTTCGGGAGGCATACGATTTGGTAATGGAAAAGAGTTATTCGATTTGTCAATACGCTCATACTCCACGGCCACACAGACACTTAATCTGGCCCCCTGTTCATTGCTCAAGGTGCTGGTGTGTGAGGGAAGAGTAAAGCAACTCATCTACATGAAAACTTGAGAAGGAAATTCCTTTGCAAAATATTTAAAAAAAAAAAATTAAATTTAAGAAGACTAGACACAGGCAGAACAAAATTATAGAATTTTTTTTTTTTTTTGGAAACAAAAATTATAGAATTTTAGATATATGTGTAATAATGAATTCATAAATCAAGACTTGCCAACAACTGTGCATTTTCAACTTCGTAATATTAATAGTCAAATTAAGGAATGATAGGGAGCATTTTGAATGTTAAAAGCAAGACTTGGGTGGGAAACCTTCATTAGATATAAGAGAATGATAAAATCCCAATAAATTATATAAGAATTGAAAAACTAGCATAAGAGCGAGGCAATATACCATATAGAAACAAAGCATCTTATTAAAATTGGGTTGATATTCTCACTTGGAAATGATCAACAACCTAGTCCGTAGGCGGTAGAAGCAGAACCCAAGTGCTTTGCCTTTCTCTCTGGAAGGCTTGGAGTAATATAATTCCGTAAAACCGTCGAATTGGGTTGAGAAGGGGAAGAAGGAAAAGAGTTTTTTTTTTTTCAGCGGGAAGCGTTACATTATAAAGAAGATGAAGCCACAAGGCCCCCAACAAGTTATATTGGGCTAACTACAGGGCTGGAATCCATTTATTTTGGTGTTTTAACTTTTAAATATTATATTACAAACTGTGGTTAAATCCATGGTCAAAAGATTATCTGTTAATATCTTGGCTATCTCTGTTAGCAAGCAAGACGTGGAAATGGCCCATAACTATTTTTAACGATAAAAATCTGTATTTTAAAAATAAATAAAGATTAAGGCATTATTTCATAATTATACAACTAATGCTCAGCGTTTCTTAGCTCGAGCTTAGGCTAGCAAAATCCTTGGCTGTCGTTCTCTAAAACCTTTCTAAAATGATGAGTATAATTTTTTAAAAATATTCCAATCGGTTCAAGACTAGTCTGATCTGAGACGGATTCCGGAATTAGAGCTTTCTAAAACGATGAGTGTAATTTATCTTATATTTGATATGTGAAAAATGTTTATCCTTTTAAATGACACAACTTATATCTTTTCACTCTCACAAAGAAGTGAGACCCACACTTTTATTTTTTTTGTCAACTCTCTCTCTCTCTTCCTTTATCTCTTTCTCTCTCTTAAAATGACACAACTTTACATCCTTTAAAATTACACACGCTTTACCCATTTGATATAGACTACCAAGTTTTAAGATTTCTACTTCAACCGTTTTCCACTCTTAACTACTTAAATGTATTAATCTATCAGACAAAAGCAAATGCACATGTGATGTGCTGCTACCCGAATCAGTCAAACACACATCTTAGTCTAAATTATAAAGATCAATTTACTCATTAGAGAAATAAAAGGTAATCAGCAGAAATAGGTAAAAAGAAGGTGCCACAGGTATCAATTACTACAGTCTACAGCAATGGCAATAATTAAAAGTAACATATTTACATGGCCCACACCACCGGAAGTCATGCCTTGATGAAACACTTTTCATCAACACAAGGCCCTTCTATTTTACAAAAGCCTTCCCTCCTTTGGGACCCTTCACACTATGCTAATGCTCTCACCTTCCATGGCAAAACCAAAGCTTCAGTTGTTGTCCTTTTTCTTATTCTGCAGCATCTTGCTAAGCTTCTTCCACTGCACATTATCATTGATCAACCCTGAGGATGAGCCAAGCTGGCTTGCTGTGAAATCTGAAGATGTTAACATGGTGCAAACCCGGAGAGATTCTTGGAAGAAATGTGACTTTTCAGTTGGAAAATGGATTTTTGATCAATCTTACCCTCTCTATAATACCAACTGTCCTTATCTCAGCACTGCAGTTACTTGTCAAAAGAATGGGAGGCCAGATTCTGATTATGAGAAATGGAAGTGGAAGCCATACGGTTGTTCCATCCCAAGGTTGGAGAATTTTTCACATTGCCACCATGTTGTTTTCTTATATGCTTTGCATTGCATGATCAATATTATGTTGCTTGTTTGCTAGCTAGTATAAAAATATAGTTGTTAAAGCTCAAAAATCAATTGGAAAACAGTTAAGCTTTATTTACTTGCAACTAGAAAGCTTAGGCAGTTATTAGTTTGTAAATCAATTCCACATTTGGTCATTGGCAAACCTGCTTAGAAATTTGGCTTCTTGATGACACCTACAGGTTTGATGCACTGAGATTTCTTGGAAAAATGAGAAACAAGAGAATAATGCTGGTTGGTGATTCTATAATAAGAAACCAATGGGAATCTCTTGTTTGCTTAGTTCAAGGAGTTATTCCAACTGATAGGAAAAGGGTGACCTACAATGGTCCTTCAATGGCTTTCCATGCTATGGTAGGACATTAATCAATCTTATTCTCCTTTTCCTTCTAAAAATGATTGACCTCACATTGTTCACTTACAGGATTTTGAGACATCAATTGAGTTCTTCTGGGCACCACTGTTGGTGGAACTGAAGAATGGGCCTGAAAATAAGAGAATTCTACATTTGGATTTGATTGAAGAGAATGCAAGGTATTGGAGAGGAGCTGACATTCTTGTATTTGATTCAGCCCATTGGTGGACTCACTCTGGTCAAACTAGCTCGTAAGAAAGCTTTCTCGTTCTCTAGTTTTCCACTTGAATGTAGTATCGTTTTTTTGTCCTCCTTCAATTCAATTCTCAGTAAATAATGACATTTCTATACTCTTTTCTTTTAAGCCCTTAAGTTTGCTAGTTTCACATCCTAATGGATTCATTCTTGATTAATGCCAGGTGGGATTATTACATGGAGGGAAATAGTATCATCACAAACATGAATCCTATGGTTGCCTATCAGAAAGGACTCAGTACATGGGCAAGGTGGGTGGATCTAAATTTGGACCCTCGAAGAACCCGAGTCATTTTTCGAAGCATGTCACCCAGGCATAACAGGTACTATCTATTTTTATTGACTAATTAAGACAGACTGAAAATTATCACGTTTTTGTGATACTCAGCTCCTCTGGTTTCTTTTTTTTTATATGTAGGCAAAATGGTTGGAAATGCTACAATCAGAGACAGCCTTTACAATTTTTCAGCCACCTACATGTTCCTGAACCACTGGTAGTGCTACAAGGAGTGCTGAAGAGAATGAGATTTCCAGTATATCTGCAAGACATTACAACAATGACTGCTTTCCGAAGAGATGGACATCCTTCAGTGTATAGAAGGGCAATAAGTGAAGAAGAGAGGCAGAAACCAGGTACAGGCCTTTCCTCTGATTGCAGCCATTGGTGCCTCCCTGGGGTGCCTGACATTTGGAATGAGATGCTGAGTGCTTTGCTTTAACTATAACTATAATGGAATGTCTATGGAAAATGTTAGCAGTGTAGACCAAGTTTATTTGTATCATCTAGAGCCTTTTATGGTTAACCCTGCAAGAGCATGCTTGTTTGAGTGTCTTTTTATTAATAATGTTATCTGATTGACAACACTACGATTGGATTTGTAACTCTGATTTCCACAAGCAGCCACCTTCTATCTTAGTAGCCAAATAACCATACGAACAAGTAGCATTGATGATCAAGCCACCTTGACACCTTCTATGCTTCTAAGGTTGTGTAAAGAACCAATTCAACCCAAAAGCTTTTAAGCTTTTGGGTTGAATTGGTTTTTTACATGGTATGCCTCGGTGTTACGGGTTCGATCCTCGCCGTCCCTCATTTAGTTAATAATTAAGCTTTTGGGTTGAATTGGTTCTTTACATGGTATCAGAGCTTTAGTGACCGCGAGGTCACAAGTTCAATTTTCATCGCCCCCACTTTCTAATGAAATTAAGTAAAGCACGAGGTAAACAAAAAATTGGGATGCTTATAGCCCAAAAGAGATCTTGTGAGAGGAAGTGTGTTAAAAAATAATATAAACTATTAAAAAGGCCCTCCCCCAATAACTTAAGTTTTTGTGTTGAATTGATTCTTTACAAATTGGTTTACAGGTTCAGATTCTAAATGAGCTTTCCATGGCTGCTGCCTAGTACCTGCTAAGCACTTTAGCTCCATTGAAAGGAGAAAAAAAAGGGGAGATTGGATATTTATTTATAAAATGCAAACAAAGGGGGATTTTTTTTTAATTTTCTTATGCCACAAAGAGTATATTACACCAGAAAAGAAAGACACAATGTCCTCTTGTGGGCTCTTCCCCTTTGAAGGTGTTTGACAACTATAAGCTTGGCTTCTTTGGTTCTCCAATAGAAACATGACGACTTAGAAGCGCATGAAAAGCAAAATGCTAGTCAAATGAGTGCATAAACCTAACAACCTCTTTATAATGATGCTGCCGGATGAATGCACCCTGGCAGAAGCAAAGCATAGTAGAATGGGAAAGTAAAACCACATACCAAAATTCTCCCAACCACTCCTTTGATTTCGAGCTTTTATGCCACCAAACGCGTATAATTGAACCAAATATTAATGATTGTGTTGACTTAAAAATATGAACAGCACGCAAGCAAGAACTTGGAAATAAACTTCTAATCAGTTCAAACTCAAATCTTTCTTAACTCCCCAATATCATTATCAGATCTTTAGCTCTTTCCTTAACTGAAGAAAAGTAAAGGTTGAAAATAGAAGCACTTTTTTTCTTAATTACGGTAGCTCTAAAATCAAACCACATGTAAGAAGGGCTGAATTATTAAAATAATTAACTACAAGTCCATCCAATAACTTTCCACTGGTGGGGTATTTTCAACTAATCATCAGCAATGTACTGCAATAAGTATCATATAAAAATTTCTACTGTGCTTTTCAGGCTTCAATGTTTTTATTTGAAACACTGTCTTCATAAACAGAAAATGCATTTTTAGTTGGGAGAAAACTTCTTCTTCAAGTTGGAAAGCTCCTTAGAAGTCAGTCCAAAAGCCTTCTCCAAAAGCTCCTCCTTTATATCAGAACCAAAAATTGCATTTGGAATTTTCTGCAAGCCAGGATTTTGGCTGTCAAAACTGCCCAAAATAGTAGCAGGCCCATCTCCAACATTCATCTGAAAGTGCACTTGGCCTCTTGGGAACACCATGACCTCTCCTTTCTCTAACACTTTGGCGAACCAACATCAAAATCTGCTCTTACAAATGACATCCCAAGAGTGTTCAAACCTGGAAAGACATTTGAATTCACTGGAATAGAAGAAAAGCCAGTTTCCTTGAAGTTCCCTGCAAACTTTATACCAGAGAAGGTGAAATCTTCCACTGTTGCTGTAGATGAGTTCTTGCAAGTGAAGCTGTTGTCTACTGATTTGGCTATGCAGAAGTCCATAACTGGATCTGGGTCAGAAGCCAAAGCAGCAATGATGAAAAGCAAAAAAACTAAAAGGACTTCTACTTTCTTGAACATTGTCTAGGAATCTAACTATATGCTGCAGTATCAATATTTAGATGATGATATTGAAAGGAATTGGTTGTTTTGGCTGAAATTTTCTATACACTGATAGCTAAAATCATTGAGATTAAGTTATATTGACTGGGTTGTGAAGTCAGAAGACTTTGCTCCACAAATTATTCCATCAATTATTGAGCTGTAGTATTTATAGGCAACCATATTTTCTTCAGCATTTTTCTTTTTGGTAAGAATTTTGTTTGGCTTCTTTGCTTTGGAATAACGAGATGATTAATTGGGGCACCAAACGACAGCATCCACCAACTCATTCTTTGCTTTATTAATTGCATATTATCTGTCGTATAAGCGAAATGATTGGTCATAGTGAGGGTGCTGAGTTGCTTCCATTGGTCCCATTATTGCTTAATGAACACACCTATCTAAAAGAGTGTGAACAGTGAAAACTACCCAAACCATTCATTTGGGTAAAATAATAGAAAACTCTTCAATGCTCCAAATTGAAATAAATTTAACTTAACATTGCATCGTTATATTTGAATTAAGGGGAAAATATATGTTAACTTGGAAAATAAAAAAATGAAACATTCAAAAGAATCTTCAATGAGTGCAGATCTACTGGGGACTGTCACTTAAGTGGAATCCACAATGTTCTACATGCAGCCACATTCAACTTTGGTTAAAGCCATAAGGTAAATTTCATTTTTTTTTTTTATTGAAAAAAACGTCTGTGGAATTTTTTTAATGGAATGTTCAATTGAAAATTAATCTTTACAAAATTTAAATTATGTAAGAGATAGTATTGGCTCAAAGATTTCTCACCATTTTCTTGAAACCTCACTTAGAATATTAAATTCCTTCAGTTTCGTGTAAGACTTAGAAGGAAGTTTCTTAGAAATCCTAGTTTGCTTGGGATTTTCTTGTATTAAATCCGTGGTCAACGTTGGTGTGCATCAGACTCTCGGTTCCTGGTCTCACGCCCTCCATAGAACAGCAATAACCAACCTTAGAATTTGTCTCGCTGAGCACAAATTCTTTCTTGCATTGACAACTTGCGTAGAATAATAGCGCGTTCGGTTAGAATTAATAAAGAAAAGAAATATGGGCTTTGTGTTCTGTTTTTTTTGTTCTTAAAACTGTTTTGTAAAATAGTTACGGAAACAGTTATTTTTTATATTTTTTTCTTTTTGAAAGTTAAAAACAAAAACAAAAAACAAAAACAACTCAAACATGTTCTTTAAATTTGATTTTAAAAACAAAAAAACACAGTTATAGTTTTCAAAACATTTTTTACAAAACAGGTCCTACCAAACGAGTTTTTTAATTTTTTTGTTTTGAAAACTAAAAAATTGTTTTTAGAAACAATAATCAAACAGAGCCTAATTTCTCATGTATAAAACACAATTATCTCTGCACATAAAAAAAAATAAAAGAGAAATGTATCTATCTTGTAACATGATGAAAGCTTGTTTTTCTACACAAACAAATAGACGTGGGATTCACAATTTTCTATTTTCTCTTTCATCAACTCATTTTCTCTCTCTTTTCTTTTATGTTTGTGTAGGATCAAATAGTGTTTTTCATGTAACATTATACATGTATAACCCTGAGTAAAACTCACTTTTTTTTTTCTTTTTTCTTTTTTCTTCGTGGGTCCCATCAACTTTTTTTTATGTGCATAAAATAATTTTGTAAGTATACTCAAAAAAATATTTAGAAATGATTAAGTTTGTTGGAATGGAATTAAAAAAACTGAATTTGACTTTTATAAAAGAAACTAACTATCCTCTCCTTCTGACAATAAGAAGAAAGAAAAATATTTTCTCGCAAATTTTGTTAACAAAATTGTTCTCTGTGACTATTGAAAATTATAATATCTCATGTTATCTACCTTTTTTGCCATGAAATACGCCAACCCCCTTCAGCTCTGCCGCATTTTACAATGGCTCTAAGTTATGGGCTTGATTGCTATGACTTCTAAGTTAATAGTGAGTCTCCAAAATGAAATTTTGTCGGTGTTGAACATGAATATTGAGTATTTTTTTTATTTTATTTTTATGATATACTGAATTTTATCAAATAATCAAAGAGAAACAAGAAAAACCAATAAACACTACAGAAAAATGGTAACCCGCAAACAGCTACAGTCACCAACAACCAAATACAATGAGAAAAAAACACCCTCCTTTAATTAAATCAATTATTACTCTGGCGATATGATGTTTTTAAATATTTTGTTCCCTTTCTTACACTCTCAATTCTAAATTACCTATCTGAATTATTTATTAAATAATTTAAATTAAGAAACATTACTGGTCCAAAGACTACATAAAGCCGATTTGAAAATCTATTTGATATCAAAAAAGGTATTATATTTTCTCTGCGCACCTAACAATTTTCCTCCGCAGCAATTGCACATACGAAAATCTTGTCAGCTGTTGTTGCATAATATACATAATCGCAGAGCCAAACGTTATAACAATGAGCCACCAGCATTCTTGGCCTTCTCTCGTACCATTGTCTTCACAAACAGCTCCCCTGCCCTGTATGAAGATCGCACCTGCAAAACACAAAGGGCTTTCAGTATGTTAAATATTGAAGCACATTGCATGTTAGTGCATCTACGTGGAAGATTTGTTATTTTTGTTACTTCACAGATCATGCATATGTCAAGCCATACTAAAAGAAGGGTACAATCAAAGTCTAATGCATTTGCTAAGTGCTTACCAGTGGCCCACTAGCTACATAACGAAAACCCATAGACTCCCCATATTCTTTCCAGAAAGCAAATTTCTCAGGAGTAACATACTCTTTGACAGTCAAGTGCAATGGAGTAGGCTGCAAAACAATAACATCTTTTGAATTAACTATAAGCCACAACAAGTCAACAAGTAACCAACGAGAAAGAAGACTTGCTAGGTGTATTGTCAGCTGAGCTGACCATAGAATAGTCTCATATAGATTCAATACAACGTGTTATAGCAGCTTAAAAATAAAATTATGAGATCATGTGAAACATTAACACCATCTGTAAGCATGGACAGAATTTTCAGATTCAGCTTCTAACCTATGAAAAGCAGGTCTGGACAGAATCAAAGAATTTTACATTAACTAACCTGCAAATACTGACCAAATGTCAGAATATCAACATCTATGGCCCTTAAATCAGCCATCGCTTCCTTCACCTCATCATCAGATTCTCCAAGGCCCAGCATTATAGAAGTTTTTGTTATCATACCCTCCTTGCTATGTTTTGCATGGTTTAGAACTGACAGACTTTGCTCATACCTGCAACCATACTACATATAAGAAATATCTATATTTCTACTTATTCTTTATATATTCGTTATATTTATGCTTCTAAATTTCCAGTGAAACAACTATTTCTTTTCCAAAGTAGGTAGACTGCCATTAAAAAGTGTATATCTATTAGCTTTTTAGTTTTGAAGAAACAATGGGTTGACTTGATATTATGACAAAGGAGTTGGATCAGCAATGCAACTTACCCAGCCCTAGGATCTCTAACAATCCTTTGGAGCCGTTTGACTGTCTCAACGTTGTGAGCAAAGACATCTAAACCTGAGTGAACCAGAGTTTCTACAGCCTTCAGGTCACCCCGAAAATCAGAGGTTAAACACTCTACCATGATCTCAGGTTTGAGATTCTGCAAAAGCAATTATAAAGACAACAATCAAACTTGCATGTATTTGCAATTTACATTGTTTACCTTGTAAAATGCATTATGAAACAACAGTCAAAAAGATCAAAGGACCTTCATAGTTTTGACAGTCTGAGCAAAATGGCCACTTCCTCCATCAGGTAGATCATCACGATCCACACTTGTTAGGACAATATAATCCACACTGCAAAAATTGGTCCCTTGTAATTAACAGGATTGAGATCTAACGAAGTTTTAGTAGCTCATGATATGCCCATGATCAATCTAGGCATTGTAACTTGTAGAGAGATGTATTTGAACTTGATAATCTTTTATAAAATTTACAAAAGTTTGCATAAAGTTAATTACAGTAATATAGACCACATCTGTGCTGAAAGAAGCAACGAACATCAAGATGATTGCTTTAGCACTTATCTAATTCTCATCATAATGCATAATAAACAGATTTTGTGTATATTTGGGTATGCAAGAAAATAACTCCTTTAAAACTTTCAGGTAAGGACTCATTAGAGGTTCCTAAGGTATAATATCTAAGCAGTGTCTAAGATAACAAGTGCTTATATTTTACATTAACTGAAATAAAACTAAAGAATAACTGATCAAGTAAAGTATTGAACATGGAGATAACATAGTTATTCCTAATACTTTTATCATAACCCCCCTTGCATGATGCCATATGATTTGCGCTTACTGAAATTTTCTTTTTTCTTTACTGAACAAAGAGGACATTTTATTAGAGATAGGATAGAAAGAGTAGACAGAGGAGAAGGACTGCAAGAGACACAAAAGTAACATATGAAAAACAAGCAAACAAGCTTATTTACAAAATGAAGCTATCCAAACCCTCTCAATACCTGTCAACAATTACTTCCTTAAATTAATGTAAATGCACCAAATAACATAGAAAGCATACCACCACAAAGCTTACACTTGTAGAATAAACAACATGAAGCATATACGCACCCCCAACTTGCAATGGCCTTGGCAGTATTTTCAGGTTCCATTGGATCAGGAGGTGCTGGATTTCTGCTGGTCTTCACAGCACAAAATCTACATCCACGAGTGCAAGTATCACCAAGAAGCATGATTGTTGCAGTTGCAATAGCATCTCCACCTCCATTCCAACACTATCCATAAGAACCCAAAGAGTTACACCTTAACGTTGTTATACAGAACGATTAATTATTTCTTACATTTATATGCAGTTTCTTTTTCTATCTTGATTTATAGTTTATATCCATAAATTCAGGGAGAATAAAAATAAAAATAAAAACATAGCAAAAATCAAAACAATATGTTTAACGCAGAGCAGTTTTATAATGTTTCAGTTTTTTACAATGTCTAAAACTTTGAAGCAATTTAATGAGTCAATGCAGCAGCTCAATTTTATCATTTACCAAATCAACGCAGACGGGTCCAAATTTTGTAGAGATTTCTTGAACATCTTCGTAACTTGTTATTAAATTTATTCAAATACATATATAAAGGAAGCCAAGCCATTGAAAGTTTATTAATGAGCACCCGATTATCATAGTTCTCATAAAAGCTATTCGTTTAACAAGTTTGGTTACATAATGAATATGCTGACACAGTAAAACCCAACAACACTAGCGTTTAATTTTAATTAACCATAAGGCTAGTTATTTAAATCTGGTGGTCATGTAATTGAAATATATAATTAAGCTAATAATGGGAGTGGTAATTTGATTTCAGTGAAAGAGCAAAAGAAAATGGAACCTCTCCTATGTTGGGGCATTGTGCCTCTTCGCAGACAGTATTGAGCTTCAAATGTGATAAAGATTCCTTAATATGTTGAAACCTTTCACCTTGAGGAGCTCTCTGCCTCAACCACTCTGGCTTCTTCACATTAGGGTCCCTCCCCGTGTACAGACCCAACCCACCAGGGTACGGTGGAGACACCGATGAATCCGTAGCGTCGCATCGAATTGTCCAAGTTGAAGGAAGATGGTTATGGAAAACGGAACGTTTTGGGGCTCTGGGAGATGTAATTGAGAACGAGATCGAAGGTGGCCTGTAAAGCGATTGCTGAATCATCTTAGCGTGGAAGAAGGGATACGCGGTTCTGATTCTCTTCTCATACGAAAGGTGTTGCTGTGGCTGAAGGAGGGAACAAGACGAAGACGTTGCAGTTACAGACAAAGCAAGTGAACACAACAACGCTTTCCATTTTTGAAATATGCCGCACTTACAGTAACCAACCAGCACGTTAGATTAGAGAGAGAACATTGGTTATTCAGTCCAGTTAATGAACTCTTTGTAATTTGGTGTGTGTGTTTTTTTTTTTCTTTGGACACTTACTAAAAAAAATGAGATGGATCCGTTTCAAAAAAAAATATGATATGATTATGTGGGAAGATCACAACTATACAAAGGTAAATCAATGGTTATGATTTTGTAACTACTTATTTTATCATTTTTTCTCTCTCCTCCTTTTTTACCATTGATCCACATTTGTATGGTTATGATTCCCCACATTACATAATCATGTAAATTTTCACATTAGAGGATCCAGATAAAAAAAAAATATGAAATGTTAATTTAAGTGCGGGTGTAAAGTTATTTTGTGTCTAAAATTAACTAATAATAATCGAGGAGAAGTATTTATCCTTTTAAATGACACAATTTATGTCATTTCACTTTTATAAAGAAGTGATATTCACACTTTTATTTTTTTTAGTCCACTATCTCTCCTTTTTTATTTATCTCTTTCTCTCACTTAAAATAACAACTTTAAATCCTTTAAAATGACACACAATTTTTTAAATAATCAAAGTCGGTGAAAGTTTTTGAAAGAAAGAAAAAAAAAATAGTAAAGATGGAAATCTTGGTAAGTTCATGTTTCAATTTTTGAAATCATTCAGCAACCCGTAGTATTCTAAAAGGAAGGAGGCATAAAACAAATTTAAAAACAAACGGGAGAATACATTTGCAGATTCGTCAATGAAATCGGAAATAATTTCATCAATGGGTCCAACAACACTTCAGATCCACAATTCTAATGGTCGACCATCCAACAAACACAACATGCAAAATGCCAAGAAATTCATAGTTGCTTATCAGAAAACTATATGTTGTGTAGAAGTTACGATGTTGTTCGAAAATTTGAGCAAATGCAAAGCAGAATCGCATAAACCAGAGTCAGGTTCTGACGAGAAAAAAACAACGATTATCAAAATTTTGTTAAGAATGTACTACTTACAACCTAAGGATCATATGAACAATTGAAGACTACATTATCCTTCTTTTTCTTTAACCCTTTCTTTGGGCCCCTATCTTTGGTATTGTAAATAATGATAAGTAATAAAAAAAGAATGGGCATAATTACAAGTGCGGTATTGTAAATAATGATAAGTAATAAAAAAAGAATGGGCATAATTACAAGTGCCAATCATGAGAGGCAAGAATTGTATAAGCAGCTGGTATCCTACATTGGTCTTCATAGACCTATGTTCAACTCACACAGATCATCCATTGGTATGGCTAGGCCCAACGTATCATCTTCTTCAATGTTTGACCAAAAGTCCAGGTCTTGATTCCCATTGAATTCATTAGCTACACCAAGTTCTATGGAAATCAATTCATTAGAGCCACCACAAGCCAATTGATGCTCAGAGTTCGTATTTTCCGTCAACTTGCTAAGAGATCCATTTCCAGAAGTAGATACTTGAGCTGCCTTCTGTTTGGGTTTTGCTTTTGTTTTACGCTCACCCCTCGAATACCCTGCAGAAGAACGACCAACTTTCGTGACAGAATTTCTTCCAGAAGTGCCTCTGTCCCTCCTCTCTCTTTCACTCCTCTTTCTCTTTGCTCCACCCGTGAAACAATTAGCTTGAATTGATGCAGATCTCAAAGAAGCACTAGCACCAACATCATCAAGTAGCAGTTCCTTTTTCTTCCCTCTGTTTAATATTGGTCCAGTCCTGGGAAAATCCTGGTCGGAGGGATGATCCAGATTTCCAAACACATCCTGCTCCTTGCAAGGAAATAAACCTGCAAGAGCCGAGGACCAATTTTTTACTCAATAAGAAACAGGACGGAACTACATCAAATAAATTTTAGAAACCAAGAACATAGATATAAATATAAATGAAGCAAAAGGGAAAATGCCTAAGGAAATTGTTTTTTTGATAAACATGAGGTCTCGGCCCTGATTATTTGTGAGTATATAAGTACCATAGCAAATACTTCCAGAACAAATAAAGCATGGTTCAAAGGGGAAACCTGATGGTGCAGATTCTTGCTGAGAATTTTGAGTAAGCGGTATATTTACAGCAGCAACCGAGCCAGCATAATTGTCATGACTGGGAACAGCCAATAGGACATCTTTAAAGACAGGCTCCAAAAAGCAACTTTCTCCGGTTTCCTCAAATTTCCTGCATCTAGCAAGAGTCCTCTTCATAAAAGCCAAAGCAACTGGCCTTGAAACCTTAGAAAGTCCATTTCTTGCAGCAGTACTTCCACGGGTGGCCTATCAATATTATAGAGGGTCATTTCACAATGCAAATCAGTCATGACCAAAGCACAATCACAGCATAATCCTTAAAAGGATAACCTAGAGCGCATGCCACATGCTTAGTAACTCATCTCTTTCCTAACAGACCCATGGGAGGGGGAGCATGAAGAGGGGAAGAAACAGCAAAGACATGGTAATACAATGAACTTTGTAATAAAATAAGCCACATTTCAATGGAATTAAATAACATGTTTCAACTAACATGTCCAATAATAACTCAATTCAATTCCACATCTTGATTCTATGACTAACTCATCGAATAAGCATAAGGAAATAAGCACAAATAAAATAAAATAAAAAACTAATAATTACCAGCTTCTTCTTATAAGCCAACTCAACAAGTTTATCCATAGCAACTTGCTCGAGGGCTCTGCAAATTAAACAGAATACAGATTAGCTATTAGGGCGGGTCAGCTTTAGATACGTGACATACAGACTACTTTTGTAACAATTTATCAAAATCAAAAGCATAAACAACTAACTGAACAAGATAAATTATAAAATATCAAATATCGTACTGTTGTTCCATTTCCCTTCCTTCTTCTACTCTTTGAGTAAGCTTCATAAAGTACTCTCTCTTTTTATTGACCTGCAAATTGGTCAGTCAGATATAGACAACTATCATGCAAATAAATAAATCAAGAATAACTAAAATCACAAGCAGATTCTCCCCCCTTAACAATTAATTTCCTTATGCTTCAGCTAATTATCAAACATAAAACAAGAGAATCAAAACCTGTTGGAAGAGTCCCTTCTGTAATTGAATAATATCTTGATCAATAGCTTCACAATCTCCATCAGCGAGATCAGGCTTTTTTTTCACAAGACAACCACAACGATATCAGTTAGTAGCAGATGCATTGATTGAAAAAAGTAACAAAATAAACCATATTCAATACACAGTGAACTCTTTAAACATAATGGCCATATGCAAGCATTTACATATAAAGATCATGCTTTGTGCCAAGGAGTCAAGGACCAGTCATCCTAAATGATAAAGTCAGGTGGAGGCACATGAATATCAAATCTCTAACGCTACCTACCACACAATAGTCATTCAGACTTTGAATGATAGACAATGCTCCGGCCCAGTTTACAGTGCTGAAGTTTAATTTTATTTTGAAGAATGGAGGAAGCAAACAATACAACTTCTGACTACATGTCATTGAGGCTCTAAAACCATGCCAAGGACCAGTCATCCTAAAAGTTAAAGCTGTTACCTAAAGGAGCATCAATAGTTCACACCTCTAACTCTCCAATTTCATGTTAGTGGTGCATGTATAGAAGAGAAACAAAGAAAATCAAAGAGAGAGAGAGAGGAAAGACAGTCATTGAAGCATAGTAGCATACTGAAAACCTACTACATGAATAAACTATGAAAACCATTGGCTTTCATACAGTTTCCACAAATTAGAAGTTTACCACAGGTTCTGGATATAGGCCAACACTTTGCAGCTCCAGTAAGAGTTTATCCTCCATACTCATTTGCTCAAAATGGCTATTGACAGATGATGAACAAGAAATTCTATGCATACCCATTAACCCACCACCATCATTTTCAGATAACAAAGGCAACCTGTTAGTTTCTGGATGCAATGCTCCCTGATCCACTTGCAAAAAACCATCAAGTTCATGATCATGGATGTTTGTGCCACTAGTAAAGGTACCATTCCCATGACAAGAAATATTGTCAGAGTTGAATCCATATTCAGTCCTGATACTTGATTGGTTCTCGACATCCTGAGAGAAGCAAGCCACCCGAGGTGAATCATCTCTTTCACACAGAAAAGACATATTTCCATCTCCCACAGTTTCTTCATCAGTTTGATCATCAATGATCAGAGCTGTCAATACTCTTTGGTACAATGGTGCAACTTTATTTCCTTCTGAATCCATTTGCCTGTCAACCACCGAGGATATCTCTTTTGAATCAGTCTGATTCAAAAT